CCATTTACCATTTACCATATCCATGATTAAGTATTCCATTGGATTTTTTTTGGTATCAATATTTTGGCTCTTTGGTCACAAGGATGTGGTATTAAAGTCAGAGAACTTAGCAAATGTCCTATCTCAAACACAAGTACCTCTGAAAAGCTTTGATAGATTGATAAAACCTCCTATAGCAACAACAAGAGACATTAGTTGTTTCTCAATAGGGTGTATAACTTACACATAACACTAGAAAGGCCCTAGGAATTATTTACCTTTGTGCAAACTATTAGCACTGGAATGCCCAGGTTGTGTGTGAGTGTGTTGTCCCCAAGTGGTAGTACAACGGCCTCGTCTTCCCCTGCTGTTGGGGCCCGTCTCTGTGGGGATGATGGGGTGGCATCCTCTGGTTCTGCATACTCTTGGAACGCTTTCACCACTAGTGGAAAGAGAATAAAAGATAGGAATTCAAACCATTAATAAACACAGAAGGCAGATGAGCCCAATAAAAAAAAAAAAAAAAATGTTAACCCAACTGTGCTTATGTAGTCTTAATTTAATCTGCCCCTCTGCTGCTCATAAAAATGTGTTTCTTTCCCCAACTGATATCCAATTGGGTTTTATTTTTGAATGGTCTTTCTCTGTATCGTGACACATTCTAACATGCATTTAATAACACTCTTTCAGGCTCGACAAGTTATACAAAGTAACAAAATCATGTGCAAAACGTTGTTATAGTGCAAATCAAAAAAGACATCAAATGTGTCAGGTATTAGCAAAATATTAAGCAAGATTACTGAGTCCTTTTTTAAAACTCTGCTCTATGTTGTTCTTTCAGCACTGGAAAAAAACACAAGAACATTAAGCTGAGCAATAAAAGTTCTTGTAGTAGCGTCTCTGTGTCCAACGTGTAATTTTTTGAAGTGCATGTGGTCTTTGGTGGCACCTTTAGTAAAGCTATAAAGCCAGTTGCACACCCTGCAACACCCTGATGCAGAAATATATAGCACAGTGTTCATTGGTACTACTACATTACTACATAACTACATATGGTACATAAGGATACACTTAACTGGTGTATAAAAATATACCAGCTCCTGCCCATTGAATGATGAAGAGAATTCCAAACTTATATAAAAATACAAGGCATTACTGTTATAGGTCTTGTATAGTGTAGCACCATTAGTGTTAATCGTGCTACATTTGCATGATTACATAATAAGCCTTGGGTAAAAGGTAGACAAGGCTAAATAAATGGCATCCTTTACTTTGTTGTTGTGCTGCCCCAGCTGTCCAGACAAAGCTGCAGTATGAGGTGGTGGTGGTGGTGGTGGTAGTGGGGGGTTATACGCAGGAAGCTTTGGCCTACTTCCTCAGGAGCTTGGGGAATGCAGTTGGGGACAGCCCACAAAGCCATACTGACTTGCTGTTCTGAGTACTCCTTTACTCTCAGACAGGGGGTTTAGTATATGGGGCGAGAACTGGTGTTACAAGCAGACTAACAGGGGACCCTTCTTAGATACAGGATTACATAAATCCAGTACATATGCACAAATGGGTTAGAGTATGTACCTTACAGCTTAAGGGCAGGAATTTAACATGTGGATTTTACACCATTCATAATGAAGATTCAGGAAAATCTCTGGCCTTTTCCCCCCACTCACATTTATACAGAGGACATCTCAACCAAATTTGACAAAAATTTAAATGAAATAAAAATAATTAGACTTTTATCTAATGCTTTCCCGTCTACCGACTTTAAGCTACATATGGGACATCTAGTCCATAACATGGCAAACAACAAGTTAGACATGGATCAAAAGCTAACAATACTTACTTTTAAATGTTGTAAATATGTCTAAATGTTGTAAATATGTCTAAAGAATGTCTAGAAAATAGTATCATAAAATCAGACAAGCTACTAGCAAAAAACATCACTATTATTCACTGCCATTCATTCATTAAGGTACTCTGTCTCCACCACAGCGGAGTCTTTGTGATGGGATTTTTTTGTTGTTGTTTACTTGTATGGGAGTTGTGATACTTTGTTTTTACCATGACAACTTAAATCTCTGTGACTTCAAGGCTACAGGGGACCAGTATTTGATGCTAAAATGAGAGATCCTGGGTGGAGTATCCCTTTAAAAGTGAAAGAGACTTTGCCCCACCAAGACCTATTTATCTGTTCCACAAACAAAGGTGAGGTCAAAATGCACTGTCACTTATAATCGAGGACTGCTCTGCCTTCAATAAATGAAATAGTTCACGCTGCAGGCTCGTAACTTAAACATTTTTACAGCTGCCAGGTTACTTGTTCCCTTTAATACAACTGAAACAGACCGAGTCAAAACAAAATTCCCAAGATATCTGCCTACACACCATTCTTAGATACTGTAGCTTAAAAAAAACACACAAAAGTCACAGAGCAAAATATTTCTCATTTCAAGGTCCAGGCAGCAATAGGTTGATCCTGTAATTTAACTTGAGACGACTCCAACAGCCAGCCTACTTCAGTTACAGTACAGCAGTAGTCAGAATGTCCGGCCCACTGACTGCACTCAGACACACTCAGTTTACTTCCCTTCCTTTCCCTGACGCTGCCTTTGGAGGGGAGGGAACCATGATGCAAGATGTCTGCAAGACTCTCTGGACAAAAGCCACTAACACTAACTTCCAGTCTGTCTGTCAGGCTGTCTCTCTCACTCACACGCCCATATCCACAAATACGTAAGCTGACTAGGTCTCACCAATCTGCTACTGACATCACAAGTGACATGCTGCAAGATGCTTTATCTGGATGACATGGCTCGGCTAAACTGGAAATCTGGCCATGTCAGTGGTGGGTTTGGCCAGCGAGACAAAGTAGGAGGAATCCTACAGAAATCTGACAAACAGATTTAATGTTAAGCCTCAAAAATTAATCAAATTTTGAGGGCTCAAGAAAAATTACTTCTACAGCCAAATGCTACAATTGCAAAGTTACAGCTGTAATGAATGTTCAAGCCTATAATTACTGAACACAAGGTAAAAAGTATAAATTCCAGGCAGTACTTCCTTCTACTGCATAGCATGAATCCAGTTCAACTGTGCTTAACTCATACAGCTATTTGAACTGAAATAAGTCAGCAAAACAAGTTATTATACCCATTATAGAAGTGCTTAACAACGTGCTTTAGTCATCACTTGGCTACCAGCTTCCCTTTTCCTTTTCACACGTTTGAAAGCAGATTACACTACTTGTTACCACTTGTCTGTATTAGCATGTTACATGTTGAGAACATTATAAGACCTGTTCATCTGCTGTCATTAAACAATTGTACTTCTTTGTGATAAGTAATTTCAGACTTGTAAGAGCAACAGCAACCAGCAAACTTTTGGAGGCAGGCAAGAACATTTTGTGAAACCCAGCAGGCTGAACTAAGTTGTCTGAAAAACACTTTTTAAAAGCATTTAACCAAACACAAAAGAACAGTTCATAAGCAAGAGATGACCAGTTCTAAAATTAACAGGAGAACAACATCTGAGTGCATCACACAAGATCTGTAGAACTTGCCTCCAGCCAGAACACACACAGCTGAGGATCATGGGCCTCTCTGATGATGACCTAGAAACATCCATGACAATGTGTAATGTTATACCGTGCTTGCTTTCCATGCTACGCAGCGACCAATCGCTCCTTTTTCCCAGCAGCCAGTCAGCAAGGAGTCTAGCTCTTATTATGTAAGACTACCATGCCGTTTCCTTTAAGCCCTCTCCTGAGATATATCAATCTTACCTAACGTTCTGCTTTAACGAAACAAATCCCTGTTTGCATTTACACGAGATGCTGTCATTGCTTCGATCAAATTACATTAATTCTTTAAGTTGGCCCAAATTCTGCACCAGGGGAGAGGGCAGCCAGCTAACAGCAAGCTAAGGGCTACATTTTCAAAATAAAAGCCAAGTGTTTATCATTGGTGCACACATCATTGATGATGATTTCCTAAACTGGAGGTTTTTTCGTTTTGATTCCATCCACAATGCCAGTAACACACGGGTGGATGAAGTCAAACGTTACTTACTCTTCTGTTCCATTTCTCTCATGTCCTCAGGTGGGATCTTGAGCTTGTCCACATGGTCACGTAGCACACTGGCCCACTTCTGCAGTGACTCCATAATGGTCCAGGGCCGTGACATATCCGCAACAAAGACAGCTAGACAGTCAGGTAGTGTCTGAGCTGAAACAGCAAACCTAAGCAGCCCTTTGTGGTATAGGTCTCCATCCAGGATCCACACGTTACAGCGAGTAAGGTCTGCAGAGAAAAACCAAATACTAGTTCAAGAAAAGCAATACAACTACTGTTTTAAATGACAGTTTTTGTTAAGGCTTTTGGTGTGAAACAACCACATAAAAGCTAGAGCGAGTGAACTCACCATCTCTGTCCTCATCATGGACGTTTAAGTACAGGTACTCCAGTCCCCTCCCTTTCTTGCTGTGATCAGCTCCTTGAAGTTTGGCCACAAGTGTCGTTTTTCCTGATCCATCCTCACCTGCAAAATATGTTATTCATTAGCTTACACATGCCATTATTCATTACTTTTAGTAGCAGTTGCAATGTTTTTAATTTTAATCTATATCATTATGCATATTTCACAACAATAAAGGATATGATGTACAAAAAAAAAAAAAATCACAATTTAAACTAAATCTTTTCACCTTAAATGCAATGACTGCACACATGTTCTCAGGTGTGTCAGAGGCTGCAACGTCTCACATAAATCTCACTGGTCAATAGCAGTATTTCTCACATTTTGAATTGTTGGAATTTCCTCATTGTGGGACTATTAAAGGAATATCTCTCTCTACTTCTGTAAGGCCAACCCACATAAGTATGCTCCCACCCGAGAAGACTTCTCTGTATTTAGGGTTTACTGTGTATCCGTTCAAGATTGTGGGAAGAAAACAGTGACAGTGCAGGCTGTTTGAAGAGTCATAAAGGTTTTAATGCGCATTCATTATCATTTATGAGTTCAGTGTGGGCTTTGCAGTGTGCAGGCCCTCCACTACCTTCAGGACGTACCAATACACTGAAAACACTGCAGAAGAATAGTTTCACACGTGTCTTAAGTAATACTTACCAAATACCAGGATGTTTTTTCCCGATGGCAACTTTGAACTCGATCGAGTTGAAACTTCACTCAGTATCGAAGTCCTACATGAAATAAGACACATATTAACAACAACACAACCACGTATTAGCCGTGTACATTGACAGCCAAGCGGCACACTGGCAGCCGCTCCCCATCTCAACACATAAAGAACTATAACCGGTCAGATAAAGGTGCATAACTCAACTATTACTCGTATCAATCAAAAAGATTATTCCACTGTCTCAGTTAGCCCAGTGATGGATCCACGACAACACAAAACAAGCAGGAAATGATAAGTCATCTACACTGACCAGTACGTTAAGTAACGTTAGCATCTGAATCCATGAAAAGAAAACCCCATAGCAATAAGATTAATAATAATTTGTGTGCATAACATTAGTTTGTTACTTGGGTTAGTAGGTTATGGCATTAGCTTATTAACGTTCACGTTGTTGTTACGTTTTGCTGCATACATGAGCTAACTTAGTCGGTATTTAGGTGTTGTCTTGACAATAACTACCCTGATAGTGTGAACTGATCTCACAACCTTCACTAGTTAACTCAACAACATTCCCTGTATTAGTAAAACTCGCTATTGGTTAACTTAGCTACCTAAACTGTCTAACTGCAGTGTAGTTAATCAGCAGTAGCGTTAGTCCACTTTGTTAACATAGCTGACGTTAGCTGAGCTGCTAATGACCGCCCAGCTTCAGTTAGCGCTAATGTCACAGCTAGCCGGGCCGGTGTCTGACTGGGAACAACCGGCTGTGACAAAGCACAACCACTGCGGCTGTGCTTCTCCAACAAGGACCACGACCGGCACGGAGTTGTTAAAAGAACAGCAGCACTTGCCAGAGGTTTTGTCCTTCTTCGTCTTCGTTGTTATTGTCGCCTGCCCCGGCTGCGCCCGGGAGCTGTTTCTCCAGAACGGGAGCCATCTTCTCTTTCTACCACCACAAAGGCAAGGCCCTGCTTCTTGGGCTCCACTAGCGCCGCCTTCGTCCGAGAAGCCACGGGTACGTTACATTCATTGCCTGCTACGTCGCGCCGGGACCCTGCACATCCGCCAGTGAAGTAAAGTAGCTATAAAGTGTCATTTTTGGTTGCTTCAAAAATTATTATAGGGAAATAGAAGTGTATTTGTGTAAAATGTGATTATAATATGTGAATAAAATATTTGACACGGGGAGCACGGACGGGGGTTCAACCCTTTAAGTTGCACTTTTGGCCACGTCCCAATAAATGATGTCATAGCAGCTGATGGAGAACACGGTGTGATACAAACAATTGCCTTGTGGCCCGTCTGGCATGCTTGAAAGTTTTAACTCATAGCATTTGCAATTTTCTGTAGTGCGTGATTCAAGTTGGATTTAACACTTAGTTACTGACTCTACAAAACCCAATTATACCAAGTTCCATTGATCAAAATCAATGATCCAGATTTGTACTGTTCTTGACAGTGGGCTTTGAGGGGGTGTCATGGTTGCACAGCAGTCTCATAAGCACATGAAGGTATCCATAGATACAGCTAAACACACGTCACTGATTCAAGAATGATTGGAAGAGTACCATGGGCATTGTACACACTCACCTCATGCTTTAACTGTGCTGTGTTATGCTTTATGATGCGTCTAATAGATATAAATTGAACCACTTATTTAGGAAGCCATCATTAATTTAATTTGTTTTCAGTAAAAACTCTGTGTACTTAAACTTGATTATAGCCTGAGATCAAAATATACATCGTTTATAGCCATGTTATGTTTGTTTCATATTATTTCCCACTATTGTTGGGTGTCCAGTAGAGGGTGCTATTTATGTTTCTCCGAAATTGAATGTGTAGAAATCATAACCAAACCATTTAGTGCATCTCTCCTCCCTTTCCTGCGAATGCTAATGCTGTGTCCATTTGAACTAATAAACAATTGTTATATGGACTTCTGAGGTCAACAAGTTAAAACTACCAGTGGATCTGAGTTGGTGTGCAGGTGCCATACATTGACTTCTAATAACATGGCACCTACTGTGATTTTGCATACAACCATGCTCTTGTTCACACTGCTAACAGTTTCAGGTGGTGTCTTTGAACGAATAATGTCGAGACAAGCCATGCAGCACAGTTTTCAACTAAAAAGTGGGACCATGTTTTATATGTATTTTCTGCACCCAAAGGCTATACGCTCAATATCATCCATTTCAGGCCTTTTCATAAATGTTTTTAGAGTTGTGGTGAATACAGTGTTAGTTCCCTCTCTCCAAGGTTTTATTGTTTATTGTTCATTTTTGTTTTTATTTTTTGTCTGTGTTGTTCCAATTGTGCTATGAGACACTTTGGTCATAAATAAAGCTGAGATAGAAAGAGTTATTGAATGACTTTTGGAAATTGGCTGTAACTTCTGAAGGGACCATCAAATATCAGACTCAAATGTTTTTTGTTTACTGACAGTTCATTCATTAAAAATATATTAACCTGTCCAGAGTGTAACCTTCCTCACACTGTGAAAGGCCCCACACAAGCCCAACAGTTTGCCACATTCCTGCACACATTCTACCACTCTGGTGGTGAGCTACTGACCCATATGTTGTAGCACTAAACACCTGTTTCTTTATTTCTCCACCTCTTCAGTCTTTGTGTCAGTCTGGGTCAACAGGACCAGGACTTGGTGACAGATGAGCTTTGGACATTTATATGATAACTCTGGGGGCCTTTCCAAGGCCTCCTCATATGCCTGTGTGTCCTCTGTCTATGTGGAGCCAAGTGGTTGGCTGGTTATACTCTTGGGAATGCATTCCAGAGCTTTTGCATCATGAGAAACTCAGCCCCTTTGTTACTGTTTAGCTTTGCTGCCAGCAGGGGAAACGAATAAGATGGATCTTATTGTCTTGTTTTCTTTAATAGATCGAAACTAGAACGTTGTAGCATCTAGAAAGCAAAAAAAAAAAAAAAAAAGACAGCAGAGCATCAGAATCAGAATCAGAAATACTTTAATAATCCCAGGGGGAAATTACTTTCGTTACAATTCAAAATCTACATACAACATATAATAATAAACATTCAGCACAAAAAATATAAATATATACATATATAACTATATATATATATATATATAAAAGATCAAATAAAATAAATAAAAAAAGCATTTCATGACCTCGATCTAACAAGATCTATTAAACAACAGAAATGTGTTTTTTCAATATTCCTGTGACAGTCACAGTTCTTCTTTATATTTTCACACTTTTTGTAAGACAGTTGTTTGTGATAAACACTGAATAAACCCAAAATATCAACCAGGTTTCTCCATCCATGCTGTGTTGTACTGTGGGCTCTTTTAACAGGAGAGGGTGCTGTCTCCTCAATAATACTGGTCTGGTATTAACTCTGTAAAACATGGTTGATAAATGTATTTATTTAAAGATCCCTACTTGGGGATGGAAAAACATAAGAGGGAGAAAAGAAAATGGTTAGGAAGGTTGTTCAAATGGAAAGAAAAAACAGAAAAGTCCTTCTAAACTACCAAAACCATTGGGGAGTATCACATCCAGCAAGGAACATGTCATACAAATTCTGTATGAGTTTAAGACCTAATAATATAAAATATCATACAAATATATGTTAGAAGTATTTTTTGCTTGAATGAAGTGGGTGTATACATATGCTGTAACCAGTATTCTTTTAATTGTATTAAACATCTTCTTAAAAATCTGTTTCACCCAAACCAAACAAAAATAATCTGTTTGGCAGTTTTCCAACAGCTTTTCTGATCAAATACCAGGTTGGTGAGTTTTGAGTGATGTAATAAGATCGTCAGTCCAATTGTTGTGCGACTTGCTTCGTCTTTCTTCCAGTTTCACAGAGAAAAACTGTGAAGTGTTTGCATGAACTATCAGGGAAAGACCCAGTCTCACTTTTCTTTTCACACGAAGGCTCTGCAAGTGGAAAAACAAGTAGTGGACTGCTTCTGGGAGAGATGTGACACCTTTTGGTGTCTAAGAAAAATTTGTTTAACAGTTTAAACCAGGATAGTTTAGCAGTTTAAATGAGATTACAGCAGGTGAATCATTGCTAGTAGTTCTATATTTCTTTTAGATTGATGTTCATATATTGTTGGAGAAAGATTAAATGTCTTCATACAGATGCAGCATGCTGGTCCATGACCGGGCCATGACAGGCCCTTGCTTATCTAAATGGAATGAAAGGATGTAACTGTCTGGAAGTCAGCTGGGAGCAGCAATTCTGGACGGTTGGTACTAAGTCTCAACTTGATGAATATACATTGTATCTGATAGTCATAAAGGGTTCTCATATACTCAGTTTGCTTGGGTTCAATTTTTTCACTTGGGTTCAATTTTTTCAAAGTAGGCAACATGTTAACCTGGAAGGGTCAGTCGTTGAACCCGGACCAACCATGTGCCATTAACACATGGAAGGCAAATAGCAAGGAGGCGCAATGCAACCGAATATTTCACAATGGTTATGATTAACTTTTGGTTCTCTTCATGTCCTTAACAAGTAGGCTAAACCATAGTTTAAAAGCCAGGCATGGGATACCTCATACATCCTCCAGACAGCCTGTTCCTGTATATGTTTATAATGTCACATGATTAAGATGATTTATTCCAAAGCCCACAGTGCAAACATTGAGGTCTACATATCATATAACAGTTTACAACTCATGAATATATCCCATTTTGCCATCATGTAGATTCAATTTAGCACTTTTAAACCAAATGCAATGAGTTTAAATGGCTCAAAATGCCTTTATTCTCATTTAAGTAATTACTATGCATGCATATCTGTCTTATTACGGTTTGGAGTAAGGATGAACATGCATGTTATCTTTCTGACAAACAACACAAGAAAAGAAAAAAACCTCAAGGAATCAATGTTACTCTCTATGGAGGAGAAATAGACCATTTCCAGTTCTCTCATAATCACCTTTAGCCCTCAGATGTATTTCTACAACAGGGAAATGAAAGTGCAGTGGAGTGTGTGTGTGTGGGAGAGGAGGGGTTAACGATTGGGAGGGTATAGATTGCAGACGGAGCAGTAGTGGGGGTAGGCTGGACTGCGATAGCGACAGATGTCTAGAAAACTGCGAGGGGCACTCCTCAGTTACACCACAGTCCCAGGCTGCACCTCGGAGAGCAGGGGCGGAATCTGCAGCTGTCACTCCAAAGGTTTACCTCCATTATCACATCCAGCCGGAGCTTGGAAAAAGAAGCCCAAGTGATCACTCTCTAGAATCACAGGTTGGTCACATCAGAGCATTGTTTTAATTTTTAATGATATATATATATATATATATATTTTAATTGCAACTTGGTCTGGGATGTATGTTCTGTGGATTCTGTTGGTGGAAAAGAAAGAAAGAAAGAAAGAAAGAAAGAAAGAGAAAGAAAGAAAGATGCACATGAACTGCAGCTTACACATTGTTCTCTCTCTCTTCGCCTTGTGTCCTTTTATGTAAATGTGTACATTTCAAGGCTGTTCCATAAGAAAGGCAGGATTTTTCTTTTTTTCTTCTTCCTTTTTTCACATTCTAATCGGTCGAATTTGATTTAGTGCTTTTTCTCAAGCAGCAGTGCTGTTTTTTAAGTAGGCCAGTCGATAAAAAAAAAAAAATTAAAACCTTTTGGGATATAGGGAAGCGCAAAACAAAGTTATGAAGTTGTGGTGCTTATTAGTATTAGCAGGTTATTGTGGTGAATTTGGGGTTCTTTCGCATGCCCGTGTGAGAACGACATTTTCAAATGCTCGTGAACAAAAAGGGCAGAGCAGCTGAGAGAAGCAGCGGTGGGTGGGTTGAAATGGGGGATGGAGACAGCTTTTATCACTCAAGTGTTCGTGGCCAGTGTACAGTGTAATTTCACAGTATAGCAATTTAGGCCTATACCTCACACTATAGTACAGATTAGCATCAGTGTTTGCTACCAATGTAGCCCAACCCATTACTTTTGTCAGTGAATAGCTGCTGGTGAGGAATCCCCTTTGTTAGCGGCCAGCACATGCTGCCTATCGTTCTCCTTCCAATGTGTCTATTGTAGGACACATTAGAAGACACATACTGTGTATATTGTACATTTGCCTTTCGTATTTACTCAGAAGTGGGCTTGGAATGTCAGTGCAAACCCACAATGATTTGATGTCAAGGCATTAGGTTTTCTCCTAATATATACCCATACCTATACATTTTTGCTATGTCTGATTAGGAGGTCGGTGACATGTAGAGGGTTTGGCAAAAATGTCAAATAAGAAATCAAGTAGGCTATAATTAGTTGGAAGTATGCCCAAAACCAAAATTTAGGCTGGTATTTCTGTAAAAGCAGATATAATTATTTATTTTCACTACTGGTCAGTTCATTAGACTGTAAATTAGTGTGCAGCCTATCCTGGTTTGTGGCACATCCTAGCACTATGGACAGTTCCCAGATTGTTTGTACCCACAAACTGCCCTTCAGTGTAAAAGTCCTGCTCATGTCATTTTGGACATAATAGGAAGAACAACCCATGCTCTAAAATATTTCCAGCTTTTGTTGGAATAGCATATGTCAAACTGAAATAATCAAATTATCAGACTCTGACATATAAAATACAACATCTATTCGGTAGGACCATAGTGTTAAGGGGCTTTCTTATATTCAAACAGGTAAATATAGTCAGGGTCAGCTGAAACACAGTCAGTAAGATAAAGTTGAACTTCCAGTTCTCTGTTCTGTCACTGAAAGGAAGTCAGATTATGTGGAAATCACAAACTCTTCCTCTACAGCCACAACAGTGTTACGACATTATCACAAAGAACTACATGCCTGTTGTACAGGTTTGCTCATTCATAGAATGTGACAATTGGATTATTGTGGTTTTTCTATGTGGAAATCCACACAGAAAATTCAGTTTAGTCATTTATACTTTGTATGTGAATGTAAATTAGGTTCTGACTTGCCTCTGTCTATTTGCCCTATGAGACTCATTACATTATATACAGTAATAATTACATAATATATACAGTAGTTTGTAGCTTGTCATGCTGAGAGAGGAATAGTTTTACATTTACATCATAGATGTTTAACTCAGAGTTGTGAGCTCATTTGGCACATAGCCTTACCAACATTCCTGAAAGGGTAGAGAGTCTGGTCTCAGTAAGGTTCCCATGCATTTACATTTGTTTTCTAGCCAAAATGCGTTTGGCAGGGAGCAGTATCCTCATTGAACATCTAGTTCACTTCAAGACAATAGACGTCTCTTCATTCTCCTTTCTCACTATTTTACCTTTGATCAAACCCATGCTGTATTTTAGAGTTTAACATAACACATTCCTAATGTTCACAAGTGGTACATATATGTATATATATATTCCTGGTCAATGTAATTGTTTCAAATATCCATTGATAAAGAGACAGGCAAAATTGAACAATGTTTTATCTCTCATATTAAAAGACACCTTCATCCGCTTGTTCTTAGGAGACACCATGGGAGGCAAACTGAGCAAGAAGAGGAAGGGATATGATGTGAGTGACCCCAAAGAGGCAAAGGATGAGGCCACAGCAATAGCTGCAGGTGCAGAAGAGTCTACTAAACTCGAGTCAAAGGCTGAGGCAAATAATGTGGCAGCAGTAACTGAAGCTGTAAAAGCTCCAGAAGAGCCCAAATCTGCCCCTCCAGAGGAACCAGCTGTTGCAGCAGAGGAGGCAGCTCCAGTAGCAGACAAACCACCTGCAGCAGTAGAGGAACCAGCTGTAGCAATAGAGGAACCAGCTGCAGTTGCAGTTGCAGAAGAACCAGTTGCAGCAGCAGTGGAGGAAGCTCCAGTAGTACAAGAACCAGTTGTAGTAGCAGTGGAGGAAACTCCAGTAGTACAAGAACCAGTTGCAGCAGCAGTGGAGGCAGCTCAGTAGTACCAGAACAGCTGCAGCAGCAGTGGGAGGCAGTCCCAGTAGTACCAGAACCAGTTCTGCAGCAGCAGTGGAGGCAGCTCCCAGTAGACCAGAACCAGGCTGCAGCAGCAGTGAGGCAGCTCCAGTAGTACCATGCAACCAGTCAGTGCAGCCAGCTGGAGGCGCTCCCAGTAGTACAAGCCACCAGGAGGCAGCTGCAGTAGGGGAGCCAGCTTCAGAAACAGAACCAGCTCCAGCAGTGGAACCAGCTGCTCCAGCAGTGGAACCAGCTGCAACAGCAGATGAACCAGCTGCTGCTGCAGAGGAACCAGCTCCAGTAGAGGAACCAGCTGCAGTAGTAGAGGAACCAGCAGCAACAGTAGAGGAACCAGCTGCAACAACAGAGGAACCAGCTCCAGTAGAGGAACCACCTGCAGCAGCAGAGGAACCAGCTGCAGCAGCAGTGGAAGCAGTTGTAGCAGTAGTGGAATCTGTTCCAGCAGTGGAGTCAGCCCCAGTAGTAGAGGAACAAGCTGCAGTAGAGCTTCCTGAAGCTACAGCAGCAGCATCAGAAGAACCTGTTCCTGAGCCCGAGTCTGCAGCTGCACCTGAAGAACTCCCTGTAGAAGAACCTGCAGCACCTGTAGAATCTTTGCCAGAGCCTATCCCAGAGACTGTTACTGAGCCAGAAGTTACTGTGGAGGAGACAGTACTGCCTGCTGCTGTCCCTGAACTCGAGCCAGTGGCTGAGCCAACTGCAGTGCCAGTTCTAGAGCAAGCCCCAGAACCAGAGAAAGCCATCGAGCCAGAGCCAAATCAAGCACCAGAGCCAGAGCAAGCACCAGAGCCAGAGCAAGCACCAGAGCCAGAGCTTGTAAAATCACCAGAGCCACAACCAGAGCAAGTACTGGAGCCAGAGCCAGAGCAAGCACCAGAGCCAGAGCTTGAAAAATCACCAGAGCCACAACCAGAGCAAGTACTGGAGCCAGAGCCAGAGCAAAAGGCTGATACAGTAATATCTGCAGCAGAGGAACAAGTAGAAGAAGTTGAGCCACAACCAGTTGTAGCCACAGCTGATATTACTGAACTCGAGACGCATGAAGCAGAAGCACCTAAGGTCTTGGAGACTGCAGCAGAGGAGGTCCCCACTGATCAGCTTGTAGAAGAAGCATCTGTTGCAGAAGCAACAAAAGCCTCCAGCCCTGAGGCAACAGCTGAGCCAGAACCAGTGGAACCTGTCCCTGAGATTGTCATCTCAGAGTCCATCTCTGCCAGCGAAATTACTGCTGAGTCTGAAGAGGCAGCCGAAGCATCTGTGGAAGAGGTGCCTTCACAGCCTGAGGTAGAAATCAAGATGGAAAATGGAAATGTAGAGAGCCCTTCTGTTACAGAGGATGTGGCGGTAGCAGATGCACTTTCAGCTGTGAGTGGAGAGTGCACAAATTCTGCTGCCACAAAGACAGAGGAATGTGTTAATGGTAATGAAAAGCCAGGGGAGACGCCTATCAAGGAGCAGAGTGACTTTGAACTAAAAAAGGATGTGAGTGGGGATGTCCCGGAAGTTCCAGATGCAGTCTCCGACATGGTGGATGGTCTCAGCACTGAGGTCACCAAGGCAGTCTGAAAAGAAGCCAATTTTGAAATCAATGTGAATTCAGTTTAATCTTCCAATGCGAGAAAGCCATCAAGGTATCATAAAAACAGCTAGGCTTTCTGGAATGCTGTAACCACCACAATGATAGTGGTAACTCAGGCAGATGTCTTCTTTTGAGTAACCAAACATGAAATGCAACCACTTGAGGATAGGAAGAGAAGGAGGGGTTCAGACAGACAAAGAGCGAGATTAAAGAGGAGATTGAAGTGCAGAGAGGAGACTTGAGTTTAGATTTTGAGGTTGAGTGCAGACAGACAGTGAAACTGAAAGGAGAACAAAACTACTGGACAATAAATATGATATTAACGAATGAAATGAATCAATCTGTATTTGCGTGTGAGCCTGATGAATATTACAAAGTGGTTTATTGGAACAGCATCCATTATTAGTATGTTATCTGATTTAGAATGTCATATATCCTTTCTATTACTATATGCAGAGACCTGACGTAAATGTTTTGGCCTTTTATAATAATATCTGTGAGGACTGTTCATTTTAAATTGATTGTTCGCAATAGAGAATAAAAAGATTATAGCCTACAGTGATCTTCTTTTCTTTTCACATGTTCTCTCAGCATCAAGTGTGTCAGAATTGACTGAGGCACTGGGTTACCAGAAAGATTTATGGTACTTTACTCTATAAATCAGACTCTCATTAGTCTACCAGGAAATCTTAACTTATTTTCAAACCAAAATATCCAAGAATAGGTTATGTCACTATAGTTGCAGGAGAAGCAGAGCAGTGTTATTTACAGAACATCTAGGCTCTGTTAATATCAAACCACTTGTTGAAATCCACTGCTACTACTGCTCATATCAGCTCTAGTGGGTTAGCTTTTGACTGATTATTCGTATCTACGAAGAGCAATGTCCTTTAGGTCACTGGCCACATTACAAATATTTTGGTTGGTGGAACATGGCTGCCTATTGTATGCAGCCTGTATGTCATCACTGGGCAAACAACTGTACCCAGAGAAATCAATCCATGAGATCTGAGGTTTTCAGATTTTCCTTACCTCTGTCTGTCTAACTACACCATGCCTATCACTAAGGCTCAATGCCATATCAGCACACCCTGCCAACATTTCACAGATCCATACCAGCAAGGGGAGCTAAAGGGGGGGAGGGGTAGGAATGCTTGCAGGAGGCAGAGAAAAGGAAAGGGGGGAGGGGAGGGTGGTTTGGGATGAAAGCAAGTGCTATGATGTTGCACAGGGGGAAAGACGTCAAAATAAGATACTCTCTTCTGGTTACAGATATTTTGACACTCTTTCACAGATTAAAAAAAATAATAAGCAAAGGGCATGAATATCACTGGATGGTAATTGGTAGAGATAAACATGTTTTGACGCCTACTTGATGCCTCCTTGTAGAATGCTGCCACGCCTGCTGCTCACACTAATGTCAGAGACTAGAGGGTCTTTGTCGTGCAGGTGCTAAGGTACATACATTAACAAGAGGGAGTAAAATGATATTTGCGTTTCTGTGTGTCTGCATGTGTGTACATGTATGGACAGTGGGAGGTGTATGTGTGTGTGCATGTGTGTGAGGTGGAGGGTGGGCCTTAGTTGAGTATGGTCATCCAACCTTGAAATAACTACTGGACCATCAGGGTCAGAGCATAAGAGGAGATTTGATAGTGATAACGGTAACCTTTCATAGAAGTAGCCCCATAATGGGCCCATCCACATACCAGCTCTCTCCAGTTTCTTTAAAAAATACTCAGCACCGCACATTTATGAAAAGAATGTTGTGGGGAGGGTTTGGGGTTGGGAGGATGAACTCACTGGCATGTTTTCATCTTTCTTGCTGAACAGTTTTGTCAAAATGACTTACTTTGTATGCATGTGGGTTGCAACCATAAGTTGCTTGGAAACAATTTTTTCAAAAACGCCAGTTCTACAAAGAGAGGATACATAAAGGTGCAGTACATGGTGATTTGAAATGATTTTTTCAATGATGCCAACACATAATGCTTCAGTTAGACTTTACACAAAATCAGTTTATGTAAGTGGAAAATAATACTTTAATACAGTGTATGCCATCATTATCCACAGCAACCCTATTAGTGCTAACTTTTTTCGAATCGCTAATAGGTTAAACTTACAGGCCACCATTATTTATAGAACCAAACTTCTAAAAAAAGTCAGTTTGGCAGCAACATGACCTGCTAACCTTCAATGAACAATAGATATCCGGGGGTAGCGCAGTAAAAAAGGGAGACCCTTCAAATAAAGCAGAGTGGTAATTGTAGAAGCAGTAATGGTAGAAACTTCATGATGAAATTTTAACACTGTTTAAACCAAAGAAATATGTTGCTACGGCTGTTTGTACGGCTGCATTAATATAGTCATTACAGAAGTCCTATATGGGAGGATCATCATTTCCACATTTTGCTGTTTTACTTTGCTTCACTTCACTGTGGGAGAACAGGATCCTTGTCTTTTGCATCTTGATTTAAACACAGCCTTAAAGTTGCATAGTTGTGAAAGGCCAGCTGCACTGCCTGGTTACCCTAACACTATGTGCTCTATATGCAAGCCCCTGCACAAAGCTCAGACTGTGTTCCAGCTTCTTTTTTCCGTGTGTGAAGACTAGCCTGCAGGCTTTAGCTGTCCCTGACTGATGCCTCTGAGAAGCAAAAGGAAAAGGAAAACGTGAACTAAATCCAAAGGCTATATTATGAGGAAATCCATGGGGCACTGACCTAACAGGTCAAGTTTTTATGCTTTTGGCCACAGTATTGAAGAGTATAGATAACAAACTCATCCACATACTATCTGTACTTTTATACTTGATTGATTGGTAATGTTTAAGTGTGTGCATGAATGAGAAGTAGAGGGGGAAAAGGGGAATACTAACATTGACAAATTAAACATTCACAATATCTTTAATGAATTAGACACAGCTCATTATGTTTTATTTAAAGCCTTTAAAAAGTAGGCTATTTCTGTATTGCTGTGTCCATCCAGTGTGACTGTAGCTGGAGCTAAAAAAAGTTCAGGAAGAAAACACCTTTAAGAGTTTAAGACTCAAGAACTCTGCATCATCAAGGCAGTTGACAGTGCAGCAAAAACAACCCCACAGTTGTCATCAGAAGCTTTATTATCCATATAGAAGACTGAGGCGTCTCACTCTGCCCTAGACTGGTTCATGACAAATCATCTGCAATATTTAATATAACTGTATTTACACTCCTTTCCTTATCTAGAGAGCTGTTACATGAAACAAATTCAATGCCCTGTGTGCTTCTGGGAAGGAATCTTTTAGACCCTTATTCATTATTACTTAGATAACAAACAGGGAGGATGTGAGTGCGTGAGGGAACACTTCTGAAATGCTTTCTGATATAAGGCATACTTTCTCCCTCACCCCGTCCACTCAGCTGGCTGAGTAAATAATTGGAGTCAGGTGGCCAAATTACAGCAACAGCTGATCACTATTTATTATTCAAGCAAGAGGGTGTCAGTGCAGAAGTACAGACAGGAAAACACGTACAATACATGGCCCAAAACAAACAACTTGCTCTTCCCTTTTCACGTTTTCTCATTCGAGACAAACACACACAAACACACACTGATGTGCTTTTACTATGATGGCTGTACAGAGACTTCCTCTCTTTCCCTTTATGTTCTTTGAAATGGTCAGTCAGGAGAAGAGACACTAAGTAACTGACATGCTGAACAAGCAAGAGAGTTTTTTTATGGATTCCCCTTTTGAATCAAACTTTGCCTACATAGGCAATGTATGATTTTTCTATTTTTCTGTCTAGTTAAATCTCTCTCTCTCTCTCTACTGTCTTGTACACGTTATCAGCATTTCAGTCTCCTCGCCTTTATCCTCTGGACCTGTAAATCTTTTTAGCCCGTTCTCTCTCTTGTTCTGGTTGTGATTCACCCTCCCACCCCTGAATCCATCCATCTGGACATGTGTGCTAATGCTGTCATTGTATCAGGGCGGGCAGAAGCCTATTAGACAGAGCCCAGTGGTAGTAAGAATCAATATTGATCCATAGGGTTAGTCTAATGGACGCTCAGAGTAGCAGTGATTCCCCTTTGTCTGCTCAAAGATCCCATCACCCTTAACTCCTTACACATGCGCACTCTCTCTCTCTCTCTTCTCTCTCTCTCGCTCTACCACACACACACACACACACACACACAAACAAAGACACTGCTTTCTATTCTGTCTCACTCTGCTGATGCAGCTGCTGTGCTGAGTGAGCACTTTACAGTTGCTTGTTTTGTGTGTGTGTGTGTGATGGCTAAGTATCTATTGTAACAGTTATATGTTTACATATAAGGGGCAGTGGGTTCTCAGGCCGCACCTACTATTGTATTGTCAGTTACAAGATTCCAGGTGTTAAGACTGAACAGAACATTCAGGGGTCACAACCACCCATTGGTTCATGTAATAAACCTAGCACAAAAACCTACACTTGGACATCACAAAATGAAGCAGGTAGCAGTGTGGATGTCATCTCAATTTTCTTTTTGGCTCAACACCTGCTGAGATTTTCAGTGGCTGGGCCATTGTATCAGCAACTATTCAATGTCACAGTATTTGCTGGGTAGCACTAAAATGAAAGTTGATACAGCATCCACAACCGCTACGTCCATCATTCTTTGAAATCCAGACACAATAGGTATTTTTCACAGCAGACATTTTGACTTGTCATAGCAGGAAAAACACAGTTGTCACTAACAACTTTACGATGGCTCTGTTCTTTTCAAGCGTCCTAGTTAGTCATAACAGTTAGCCAGTATGTACTCATTCACTCAGTAGTTTACTCTATAGTATGCAAAAAATATATATTGTAGAACAGGATGAAATAACTTCTAACAATTACAACACTATCATCAGTTAAGAAAAAAATAATATGGTTTTACCAGAAGATATTGAGCAGCAATGAGGCTCATAGGGAAGACCACAGATATAGGCAGGAGCCTGATCATGCAAAGGTTGAAAAACAAACAACCAGTAAAATCTTAAAATCCAATCTAAAACTCATAGGTAACGAATGAAGAGCAGCAAGTGATTGGTGAAACACGGTTGCTTCTCTTAGGATGGGTAAAAGCCTGGGAGCAGCGTTTTGTAAGTTGTAGTCTTATAGTCTTGTAGTCTATATAACTGGAACATCATAACCCTAACCCTAACCCAAAACCCCTGTATCCTCAGTTCAGCTTTTCCCACTAAAGGGTTCCTTTAAGTAAGAAGAAATCTGTGCAAAAATTTGCACTGCTAAATTGTACTCATTATGCTTAAAGACATGTATTTATAACATAGAGTAAGTAGTCATGTTATCAGGGCTCTTTTCAAACCATCTTTACAGCAAAGCAAGAATTAATCTACATTCAAAGTTTTACACTGAACACACACCTGTTATCTCAGCTTAGTCACTGAAAAAGAAAGGAGCGCATAAGCACAGTGTGTGTTTTAGATTAGAGATGGAAACTCATTGTGTGCAGTCACCTTGATCAAGCCTCCAGGCTGTTTAAGCGCCAAGGAAACATGCAGTAAGAAGTTCATTCCTT